TAGGTACTGCCCCAACTGTTGTACGGGCTGCACCTCTGCCCCTACCATGGCCTCTACCGCGGCCTCGGCCTCTCGCGGCCCTAGCTGGTGGTACTGGTGGCTGGCCCTCCTGACCGGTAGTACGAGTCCTCACCATCTGTGAGAGAATGAAATAACAAATGTTTAATTACTAGAATAAAAAAATTCGCACGACAAGAATCCAAGAATGTGAAGTTTCCTAAAGGTTCTGCAGCCTCCTGAAGATAAATACAGAAGTCTCCGTACCGATCGACAAGACTCTACTAAACCCGATCATGACTCGTGAGACCTATGTAACCTAGGCTCTGATACCAATCTGTCACGACCCAAACTAACCTCTGTCATGACGGCGCCTATCGTGGAACTAGGCAAGCCTACTCATTTCCAAAACAAACCGATATTTCCATTTCAAAGATAATTTCAAGGTTATTTAACCTAAAACCTCCATTTAAAGAGTTCAAATCAAAGAAAAATAGAAGTGCGGAAAAGAAAAGCCCAACATCGGGGTGTCACTAGTCATGAGCATATACTACAATCTGTCTAACAATATCAAGGCTAACTCAGCCCAGAAAATAGCTAAATACAACTAGAGGAAGATAAGAGGGAGAAGAGCAGGGGCTGCGATTGCCAAATAGCTACCTTGCTATCTCCAAGAAAATCTGCAACCAGAATACTCAATAACCGCTACCATGTCCAGCAACACCTGGATCTGCACACAAGGTGCAGGGAGTAACGTGAGTACGCCAACTCAGTAAGTAACAACAATAAATAAAGATTGAGCAGTAGTAACGAGCAATAAAACATAAAACGTTCATATCAGGAAATCTCAGTAAAATACCACATGCTTTTAAAATCAGGATTTGAATCAAACATATTGTTTAAACCCAGTACCAGTAAAAAAAATTATTTAAATACATTTTTCCAACAGTTTTTCAAACAAAGGCTCAATGCAAAGGTGAGCAAAAATGATGAAATCATAAACAGCCCCTCGGGCAAAACATCACTCATATACAGCCCCTCGGGCAAACCTCACAGTCACTCGTGCCCCTCGGGCAAACCTCACAGTCACTCGTGCCACTCGGGTATACCTCACAATCACTCTTGCCACTCGGGCATACCTCACAATCACTCTTGCCTCCCAGTCACTCGGCACTCACACTCAGTAGGTACCTGCGCTCTCTGGGGGTGTGTACAAACTACGGAGGGGCTCCTTCAGCCCAAGCACTATAATCTACATGGACAGCTCACGTGCGATAATAATAAAGTATGCTGCAGGCGGGCAGCCCCGATCCATACTCATCCTCACAAATCAGGCCCTCGGCCTAACTCAGTTATAAAATATGTAGTAGGCAGGCAGCCTCGATCCACACTCATCCTCACAAATCAGACCCTCGGCCTCACTCAGTCATAAAGTAACTCAAGCCTCTCGGGCATTTCAGTAAAATAGGGCATTCAGCCTAAAACATTTATATGCATCAAAATAGAGTCATAAAACTGAGTTATGCGGTAAACAAGTATAAACATGACTGAGTATAGATTTTCAATC